GCACAATCGGTGGCTGACTAAATACTTTTTTGCCCCACTGTATGCAAGATGGCCAGTCCAGCTATGGCCGTGCCATCAGTTAACCCTTCGCGTGCCAACTGTGGCACGCGTGCCTAGGGTTGCCGACCCCTTATCTAGAGTATTATTCTGCACAGACTGTATTTTTTAGCAGCAGCTGTGCAAGTTTGAAAGAACACAGGTTTACTAAATGCTAAATAACGTGCTCCTTTAAAAATAACTTTCTGACAAATAAATACTAGAGCAATATCATCAGCTGCCACTCCAGTGTACTCTAATCCTGCAAATGAACACCTACTCCATGGTGTTTAAATCTGCACCTTCAGTGAGCTATGCATAGTGTAGCAACAATCTCTCTCGGTTAGAGGAAGGAAGCATGGCATATGTGGCATACCATAAAATTCACTTTAAGGCTAGAATTGGAAAAGCGAGGGAAGCAGTGCTTTCCAAGTCAAATCTAAAAACTGGCATCAATTAAAACGTGCCAAGGTGAAAGCAATCTCTCTCCTTTCATCTCAAACAGCATTCTGTCATTCCAGCCTGTCGCTGGAAGCTCTGTTTGCCTTGGAAACGGCTTGCATTGGAAAATGTAGCACGTTTCCTGTGTGTAATGTAGATAAATGTCTGGTATTTGGTGGAAGACTAGTGGGAGACCAGCATGCGAGGCAAACTGCTGCTAAAGGTAGCTAGCTCCTCTTTCTTTTTAAAAGATCAAATGTAGGCCTATGTTTCTGTGGTTTTGTAGAATGCCATGCATTACTGTAGATTAAACAGAGTAAAAGCTTTAAATGAGTTTGAAATTACCTTAGCCTTAAACATTTCCACTATTAGTTGTGGTCCATAAAACACTGACAAGGAACATTTTTCTGTAGAATAATTACTTTTACTTTACTTATTTATTTGCTTTTGATGATTTATCCACAATTTCAATCATCAATGTAGTTATACATGTAATGAGGTGTTTTCATAGTGGTTTATTGTCTCTTTTGCTAAAGTAATGGTTCTTTTAAAAAAACAGAAAGAACCATCGAACACTCGTCACCGTCAGCTATCACTAAATATTTTTTACTAATATAATAGAAATAATAATATTTTACAATTCTTCGGCCAGGAATGAGTGCAGAAAAGTAAAGAAATCTATGTGGAGTGTTATGTACTATACATGGTCACGGTATCTGTTAATCTGATAATCTGTTAATACCATATGTTTTAGTGTGTGTGTGTGTGTGTGTGTGTGTGTGTGTGTGTGTGTGTGTGTGTGTGTGTTGGTGGAGGGGGGGATATATTGTAGTGTTTCATATGTGCATTTTGTTGTGCACACACCTAGAGGGCAGAAGTAATAATAATCCACCCGGTCGTTAAGTGATGACGTGACGAATCCTACTTCCAGGCCTAAAGTAGTCTGCGTTTAATATGGCTTTTGTGTTGTTAACATGTTTAATGTTATGTATTTTCTTCTATTTAATCTCAAAAATGTCATGGTCCGCGGCCCGGCGTCCGGGGTGCTGCTGGGATGTCCACGCCCACGAGCGTGGCTGCTAACCCCACACCTGCATCCCATCCCAGGCGATCACCAGGTGGACTATTTAATCCTGCCCTACCTGCTGCTCCACGCCAGTCCGTAGTCGCCTCTCAGCGGTAACGTACGCCTGCGGGAAAAGAACTCTTATGACAAACTCTCCATCGGACCTAACACTGTTTTTTCCCTGTGTACCCAGATCACAACTCGGCGTGTTTTTGTTTTCGAGCCACCTGCCTGTCCACCTGTCCGCCTGAGATTTGGTTCACCATCAGTTTCGCCGTCTCGACCCCTTTTGGAGCTCCACCCCCCTCTGGTTCACTCGGCCCGGCTATCACCGTGAGACGCACACTCCACCTTCCCTCGTATGCTGCCTTTTTTCCGCACCCCAGTAATCTGTCTCTCTTTTTGTTTTACAGCCTCTCACAGCCCCGCTCTCGGCGTTCCCTGCGCGGTCCCTCGGTTTCTTCTGGTTCCATACGTTGTTTTTCAGGCTACCCTCATGGGACACCTTTAGTTGCAATAAAAATTACTTTCTTTATTCGCTCCTACCCTAGTGTGTGTGTTCTGCTACTGGGTCCTGCCTGCGCTCGGAACTTCGGTTCATGACAAAAAAAGCTCCTAAAACAGTCACTGATCACTGTTGACCTCCCTTGGCTTTTATTACCGCTAATCATTTATTTAAGCTCAGTTTTTAAAACCTTAGGATGTAACTACAGCCCAGCCCATGCAGCAGTATATGAATGACTAACCTCATATTGTGGATGGATTATCTCAGTTGTTCTCCTGGCTGAAGTTTGGTCCTTTTACAGCATCCTGCCATGCGATTACATTTGTTCCTGATCACCGAGAACACTCACGTTAACTTTTATCGAGTGGAAAAAAAGTTAGCTTGTTTATATTATGCTAACATAGCTGTGTCGCTAGCGGTCACGTAGCACATCATTAGCTACAGCTAGCCAAACTTCAGTAGTTTAGTTTTCTGTCTTCATTTGTGTTGGAAGTGATAACAGAATTGTACGTTTTAATTTGTTTCCAAAACCCCGCAGTCAGGGCATGCTATATTGTATTTAGATAGAAGCTAGCGAGCTAACTTCCTGCTAACTTCTAACTCAGTTAAATGTCATAAATTCCGTTTTCATGGATGCCTGGATGTTAAACTCAATTGTTACACCTGGTAGAGCAGAACGCTGATCATTTTATTAAAGATGAAAGACTTTAGACAGTTTTTCAACTCTCAGTAATGCCATAGTGATCGTTTGATATATGGACCTGCAGCGGAGTTTAGGCCCAGACACGGCTAGTGACGTCAGACTTAACGACCGGATTGGACTGGCTTTGAAGTTATAATTCAGTGACTGAAGATAGCCAACATAGGCACTCTCCATCCACACACACAGAGAAAGCTCCCAGCCACGTTACTCAGCCCAGTGATTTACAATAGGGGTAGTTTCACCAGGGGACATAGTAGCAATGGAAAATTAAATCAGGTAGAAGAACACAACTCTGTTAAGGACAGTGGTGCAGCCTCACTAATGAGATATTGAGCACAGAATAACAAGAACAAAGAAATATAGCCTGAGTGTCTCTTTCTTCCTTTCCTCTTTGTTTGCCTTTCAACCACTCAGAAAAGAGAAACTGCATTACTAAAATCCCTCTGGCAAAGATTAACATCTCCAGTCACTAATGCTAAAGAAGGGAGGAGTGGTGGCTGTTCTGTAGACATATAGGAAACCACAGGAACATTTGGTTTTCTTTTTCACAGTACCTCAGTCTTCTTTAAGTAATCTGGAAAGCAATATAGGGGAGATATATGGGCAATAGTGATTTAAACGGCAAACTTTAGGGCTGAAAATGCAGCCAGAATAGAATAGAAAAGTCCCGTATTGTATTTGTACATGTACAACAAAATTGTGGGTGCCCCATGCCAATTTTGCAGGAATAAAATTTAAATAGTAAGACAGCAGGAATAAATAACAAACATGAGAAATATATAAAATCAAGACTAATATATACAAACAAGAGACAAAAGACATACATTAGAGCAAAAGTTGGAAAGTCTGTGTGTGAGTGGCCTGAGTGATGAGGGTTACTCAGACCATGGCTCAGATTAGTGGCTGGGTGGGCAGGAGTGGAGTTTTTTTGGCGTATTGTTTGTTAATAGTCCAAATGGCCCAGGGGAAGAAGCTGTTAGTGAGTTTGGCGAGTCAAACAGGAGGTGGGCAGGGTCACCTGTGATGGCCCTGGTTTGTCTGAGACAGGAGAATCTGGCGATGGCCTCCAGGTGTGGCAGAGGACAGCCTTTTTTTGGCAGTATTAATTACCCTCTGCACAGCCTTTCTGATCTCAGTTGTGGGCCCTGTGTACACAGAGCATGCTCTCCACTGAGGAGCAGTAGAAGCCCAGCAGTAGCTTCTAGTCCAGGTTTTTCTTCCTCAGGACATGGAGGAAGTGCAGCCGCTGTTGGGTCTTCTTTACCAGGGTGTTTACCGAGCTTTAACCTAGGAATAAGAGGGAAAGGGGCATCTGAAGGAGGTCGGTTTGGCGATAAGGATGTCTGGGATTATAGAGTTGAATGTGGAGTTATAGTCCATGAAGGGCATCCTCACGTAGCTCTTCCTGTTAGCCAGATGGCTCTGCTCCACATATTTCATTTTTTTCCCCCAAACCACTGTCCAAAAAAACTAAAACTAAGAGTAAAAAAAAAGATATTCCTTGTAGTTGGTCATTAGGTTTGCACACATCTCAGGAGGGTTTTGGCCCTCTTTACAGAAAATCTCTAAATGCTTTAGGTTTTAAAGCCGCCTACAGCACATTTTCTACAGGACTGAGGTCTGGTGTTATAACCAGTGTGTTACCATTGGTGTTCTTGTTAACTGGTCCCAGTCTTGAGATCATTAACAAGCTCCTCCACTGCTATATGTTCTGTCTGACCGTGTGTGGGGGGGGTGGCTAATTTTTTTGATTACAGTCAAGTGAACTAAAGTTAACAATGATGATAACGTGACAAGTTATTACTTCGTTGTTAGTGCAAACAAAAAGATTCCCAAAAAATGCTTCAAACTCTACTGCTGATGGCAAAGAGGCTAGCTCTGTTAGCTCATGCAATGTATTAACGTTGCAACTTTGGTCAGTAAATATAAAAAAGTCAAGCTGACAGGAAAAGTGCCAGCGGCAGAAAGTGGCAATTGAAAAATGTTGATAAAGATCCTTGTTGCCATGCCTACTGCGTGATGCCAGAAAAGTAGCAGAGACTTGGATTTCCTTTCTATTGGATAATGGGTCAGACTCAAGATATGGTGCATCATCTTCTGAAAACTGTCATCATTTACTCCATCACTTAAAGTGAAGAATACATCTGGAACATGTCATGAGTAAACATCTGTCATTGAGTACACAGAGATGACATAAACCAAGAAAGCTTGGAGTAGAAAATTATCTGCAATAAAAAAAAGACACTCACATTAACATAATGCACCAAGTTCTCCTGCTCGTTGACTTTGTAGGTCTTTATGCCATACTCTTTGGCCAGACGGAGGATGCGGTTCTGTGTCGGTCCAATGTAGGCACCGCCTAGATCAACCCACTTTGCCTCCTTATTCTAAAAGACACATACTCACAATTAGATCATGACAAAAAAGAAAGAAATGTCACAGATATTTCTGAAAAGGCTAACTGATCTATGCTTGCACTTCTACGCTCATAAATGACTTGAATATAAATGTCATTTTTTTTCTGTATGCCTATTAAAAGAAATAGATACACTATCTTGGTTGTAAAATTAAAAAGGCTGGAAAGTATTTATATTACTGTTACTGATTGTCTCTTTTATGAGCCGCTCCTACAGTAGTATTGACACTCTTTGCTTTACCTGCACAGTGAAGGTACGACCACCAACCCGGTCTCTGGCTTCCAACACTACAGGATCGAGCCCACTGGCTTTCAACAGCTTTGCAGCACTCAAACCTGCAGAAGGACAGAGACACCAACAGGACTTAAACATAAGGATTTAAGCAATATATGTGCTTTCTGTACTTGTAAAAAAAGCAATAGCAAAAGGCACACAGGGATTTTAAAGGTCTTTTAAAATTAATGACAAAAAGGGCTTCCAAAAATCCTAATGCTAGTTAGGACATTGTTATACCATCAACAGCTATTCCCACTTTAATTGTTTTCCGTTGTGCATTTACACTGATTAGCTTTTAGGTAGGCATGCAACTCTTAAATACAATTACATAACATTTGCTTTTCAAATGAACTGAGAGAGCTCTGGGAAAAATGGAGGGGGAAGGATGGGTGGGGGCTGTTGGGGAATCACAAACCAGCCAACCTGCTGATCATGTGGGGAGGAAGAGCTAACAAAAAAAGCACTGAGTACTCATTGGTTTAGCAACCGCAGAGTATACTGAAGAAAAACAGCTTTTCATACACTGACCTCTGGCACTCCTAGTTATACTTTAATTCAATAAGACTACTAAATGAATCTAGGCATGAACACACACACATGCAGAGAATTAGAGGGCAGCATATGGCTCTGAAGCGCTGATCTACAGGGCTGCTAAACACACAGAATATTGTTAAGAAGCTGTTCTTTAGAAGGGGAAACTGGGAGAAAAGGTACACCAAATTAAACAGCTAGACTGAGAGTCAATTCAAATTTGAAAATGTTGCTTCAAATCATTGTCAATGTGGACATCAGAGTCTGGAGCGAGGTGGTGGAGGCTCTGCCATGGTTTGGGGATGCATTACTGGCAGTACAGCAGGGCGATATGGCCAAAAATATTTATCACAACATATATTTGAAAATTTGCGATAACGATATAACTGACGATATAATTGATGCGAGACAAAATACATCTCCACAACATTACTAGCGCAAAAAGACAACCTTCCATTTATTTTCACTTAAAGAAGAAGCTGGTTTTTATGTACATTAAAGCTTTATAAAAATGTAACAGTGCAAATGCAAATTCCTTGCTGAAAGTTTAACCAAAAGGCATTTCCAGTAGAAATGGGCTGACACATCCTGAGCATAACCATGTATAATATCCACTGAAGTTAAAAAGAGGTGCTTTGCAACATTAAACTGCAGTGTGCAGTACGTATTTTTCGGACCATAAGGTGCACGGGATTATAAGGCACATTAAGCGAAACAAAGCAGTCAGATAAATCAAACTTTATTAAACTCATTCTTCTTGCTTCCTCCACTTCTGTACCATTGATTCATTAATTTTGAATTATCTGGCAGCTGCTCTATTCCCATGTTGTTGCAGTATATTAATGACTAACCTCGTATTGTGGATGGATTATCTCAGTTGTTCTCCTGACTGAAGTTTGGTCCGTTTACAGCATCCTGCCATGCGACTGCATTTGTCTCTAACTATCAGGAACCTTAACGTTAACTTTTATAAGTGGAAAAGTGTATAGTGTTCGTCCTCCAGCTTCACTGTTTATGTTATGCTAACATAGCTGTGTCGCTAGCGATCACGTAGCACATCATTATATACCAGCTAGCCCAACTTCCGTAACCCTACAAACGTCACTGGTGTTTAGTTTCCTGTCTTCATTTATGTTGGAAGTGATAGCAGAGCTGTACGTTTGAATTTTTTCAGAAATCTCTCAGTCAGAACATGCAATATCATGCTTAGGTAACTAGCGAAACTAGCGAGCTAACTTCCACTAGCTTCCTGCTAACTTCTAACTCCGTTAAATGTAACAAATTTTGTTTTCATGGATGCCTGGAAGTTAAACTTCATAGTTACACCTGGTAAAGCAGCAATGCTGATCGTTTTATTAAAGATGAAAGAATTTAGACAGTTTTTAACTCTAAGTGACGCTGCAGTGTTCGTTTAAGAGCATCTTAGTCCGACAAATACGACAATAACGACGGCCGCTTGCATGTTCTGCAAAAAAATGTGCTTTGTCGTGTATCTGACGGACAAACACCAAACCAGTTCCACATCACTGAAGTTGCACCATTTTTACAAACCAATTCTGGTTCATCTGTTTCACTCAACAATCGGCCATGTGTGTATGAAAACAAAGGCACTGCGCGTTTTACTCATATTCTATCGCGATATTTCATTTTCCTATCGTTGCTTAACATTATACCGGTATTACCGTGAACGGTATAATATGGCCCAGCCCTAACTGGCAGTGTGGAAAAGTACTTTCAGATGTCAATCCACCATGGCACTGTGAATAAAAAGATGAAGAATCGCCTATGAGCAAGTAGTTGGTGACAGTGTGGGGGAAGAACTCCCTTTTAACTGGAAGAGACTAAAGGAAGTGGCAGTGAACAAATGGCGGATGACCGGCTTTTGATTGTGAGGGGCAGCCAATTTGGAACAAAGTAAGGCTTAAAGGTAATAGCGTGTTTTATTCTTGAGGATGAGCTGAGAACTTTGTTGAACTGTGCAAAGCTACTGGAGTCTAACAGAAAAAAATGTTAAAGAGAAAAACAGGCACTCTTTAATAAAACAAAAATGAGCATGCCAAAAATCACACAAAAGCCTACATACTGCATGTTATATTCATTGCATGTTCATCAGCAGACACTGATAAATGAGGAGCAGAGAAGCAGGGGGTAACTTGTAATAGAAAACAGCACAGAGCAAAATGTCTCTACTGTCAGCAGGTACCCACATCTGTGCAAATGTTTTCCTGGCTTTCGCCCTAAATTCCCTTCTGGCCTCGCCATCTTCACCCCTATATTCTTTCCTGCCAAATCTGACTAAGCCCTATTTGATCTGGAAAGGTTTACATTAGTTTAAACAGAGTTTATTTTGCATTACCCAGCGCCAGCCTCCTCTCTATGTACAAAAGCGCTCAGCCTGTCAGGCTTTGCAGAAAGCATTAGACTTGACCAGGAGGAGGCTCACAAATCTCCATTAAATTGATGCTATTAACCTACACTCGGCTCAAAAGGTCACTCTCTGTCTTGGAAAACAAAGAGCATCTGTCTGCATCTCTTGTTTATGCCTACAGCAATCGCTGCAAAAGTAGCTTCCCGTTGGACTAGTCCTTTGATCAGAAAGCTTATTTATCCAAATCAAGGCTTCACTTTTTATCCCCCCTTTTCTTCAATTAAAAAACATGGTACAAACGCAACTAATAGATCAAAAAGTGATCATCACTTCAAAAGGATGCCGGCTGAGTTTTCCCCTTATGTTTACTTCCATTCCCCCAACAACAATAAAGAAAATGAACACACTCAGGCCGAGCTACTTCATGGACCAAAAAGCCAGGGAGGCAAGAAAAAGAAAGAAAATAAAATAGAAACCATCCAAGAATCTCAGTCAGAAATCAAAACCAATCATACAATTACTTTTTTTCTTCACTACTGCTTCATGCATTTGCTCTTTCTGTCTGTTTATACAGATAGAAAATGTTTCTGAATTTCTGTCTTTTTGCAATACTTACTGCAGTAGTTTGTTATGTTTTACATTCAAAAGGTCAGAAGTCAGGTCTGGAAATTATGTTGGTGGTGGCAAATAATAATACAATAAAAATATTAGAAGCTCACAAAAAATTAAGCTAAAATCTGAACTGCTTTCTACATTTTAAAGAAAGACGAATTTTGACCTTAAATCAATGTACAATGGCATTTTTATGGAGATAAGCTAACAATGTTTCTGAATAAAACTTGGTCTCTGGTTCTGAATTTCTAGATGCAGAGGATGAATGGTGCAGCTGTTCCGGTGTAAAGCTGAAAGTGATGGCTGAAACTGCGGATTTACAGGTCAATGGACATTACCACCTTCACTTATGGCCACATATAGCTGGTAATGAGCAATAGAAGACGAGCTTGATATTTATCAAACAGATGTAGTTGCCTTGAAGTGCAATCTTCCTGACATCTGAGGAACAGCTGGTGTCAGTTCAGCGGTGCTTCTCATCCTTTGTGCAGATGTATTTAACGAGGGACCAGACAAGAGAGGAGGAGTAGTATAAGTAGAAGTATTATATTATGGATCGCTCCCTGGGACACCTGGGTGCATTTAATTATGTTAACTTGCCTCCTCGCTTCCTGCCATCTCATCTCTTCTTTCTGTCTTAGTGAAAATGTGCAGGAGACATCCATGAACAAGACTGAAGAACACAGGAGAGAAAATGAGAAATCTTTGCTTCTATAGTATTAGTCTTAAGAGATCCTGTCCTTTTGAGGGATGCTTCCCTCGCTCTTAGCTCTTCCAGACACACTTATCTCACCTGTCCTTGCCTCTTTGAGGTGTTTTTAGGTGCTGGAACATCCTTTGTGATTGAGAAGGGTGAATGATTTTGAGGACACTGGAAAGAGGGTGCAAGAACACTTCAGCTTTGGGGTGACTGTAGCTCAGGAGGTAGAGCAGGTCACCTACTAATTGGAAGGTAGGTGATCTTCCAAATAGAAGGTGGAAGGGGTGGGGGTGGGGGGGTCTTAATTTCCAATTCGATCCAAGTCTGCTCCAGTCTGCATACCAAATATCCTTCATCAAGTTGCTCTGACTGTGAATGTTAGATAGAAAGTGCTTACGTAGAAAAAAGAGTGCTTGTGTGAATGAGGCAAGTATATATATAATATATATATGTATATTAGGGGTGCAACGATACTCGTATCGATATTGAACCGTTCGATACAGTGCTTTCGGTTCGGTACGCATATGTATCGAACAATACAAAATTTTTAATTTATTTTATCAACTTTCCTTCTGACAATGCTGTCTGTGTTGAGCGCTCAGTGGATCTGCACTCAACAGTGCAGCCTAGGCGGAGTAGTCGAACGCAGATTCACTGAGCGCAGGGCAAGCTAGCGAGACAGAAGTTAAGCTCTCCTTGCAACATGGCAAATTGAACCTCCCCCACCCTCATTCAGATGTGGCGTTTGGAACTATTTTGGTTTTCATGTGACATATGACCCTGAAGGTAAGCGCGTCATGGACTAAAGTAAAACAGTATGTCGGATGTGCCACGCAATGGTCAATTAC